TGGTGTCCGAAATCTATCCCCAACAAAGTAATGGTTGCGAGTGTAGGCTATGTTGCGTAATGAGGTATCAATGTTTGGGTAGTTGCTGGATCAAGCTATTCGTTGGGTAGAAGTTGAATCAGCCATGGAAGGAAAAGCTAAGTAATGAAAAAAACTTTTGTGTTTTGGATCAAGCTAGGTGTTTAAACTCGTTAAAGCTCCGATACCATGAAAGAGTTATGTGTGATAAAAAATAGTTGTTGTTTATTGAAGATCTCTACTTATAGAGTTTCGGAGATTTAAACAGGACCGGACTTCTAGTTACGGAGACAAACCTATTGCAAAGACTTAGACGGACCTATTACAAAGACTTATACTTATGTACAACTTCTAGCAAGAGTGAGATATAGTACTGGATATATATAAGGTTAAGTGATATACACGGTATCGAATATATGTGAGTTTAATGATATACATGGTAGTGTTTTATCCTTATCGGACTAATCTCTTGTTATTTAGTCGGATGCATAAGACGAACATAACTATTTAAAGAATTTTTTATAGATATACATAAGGACTCGAAAAGCAATACTATTTATTCAAATGACTAGAATCCCTTCGCTTGAGATAATTCTTTTTAGGTGGTAAAATGAGCATTTTAGTCACTAGTTGTTGTACTGTTCGTACTAATATTTAAGACAACTAATTATCTTACTCTTGAAATATAAAATAACAATAATAACTAATAATATAATATTTTAAATGTATTCCATTTATTGTATAGATTAAATTATAACTTTTATTTCATGCATATATATTAAAGAATAAAGAAAGACCTGCCCTAAAGATGCGTCCTTATCTTTCATGAACGCAATAATCGAAGACTTTTCCGTTTCCTTTTAACAGGTGTCCGAAATTGAAAATGTAGTTGGATGTCTCTTTTTTCTTTCTCTAGCATTTTCAGATAAAATATTTTAAGAGGGAATAACATATAATAAGTGAAACAGCTGTCATGCTTTTGAAATATTTAATTAATTACATATAAAAACTGTATGTGCTGCGTTTCATGAAAGCAATTTCTTGTAAAATTCATTGTGCTCCTTTCCATTCCGATTTTTTTTTTTTTTTTTTTGTCTTTTTAAAGTATCAATGTGTTTATACTAACAATCTTAATATACTTTGATATCAAAAATAGTAGAGCCATCAACATATAAAAAAAGCTATGGAGGAAGATTGTCTAGCTTTAAAAGAGAATAAAACTTGAGACTTAGTGTAAAATTACAAGGACGTGAAAGCTATATCTTGCAAGTGACAGGGCCAGATGGATCAATTGAGAGATAGAAGTAGGGATGGCGATATGCCGAATATAAAGCTGGCATCTGTATAAATTTTCTCTAGTATTTTTAGATAAAATATTTTAAGAGGGAATTACTTATAATAAGTGAAACAACCGTCATGCTTTTGAGATATTTAATTAATTACATATAAAAACTGTATACGCTGCGTTTCATGAAAGCAATTTCTTGTAAAATTCATTGTGTTCCTTTCCATTCCGATTTTTTTAAAAAAAATTCTTTTTTTTAAGTATCAATATGTTTATACTAACAATCTTAATATACTTTGATATAAAAAATAGTAGAGCCATCAACATATAAAAAAGCTATGGAGGAAGATTGTTTAGCTTTAAAAGAGAATAAAACTTAGACTTAGTGGCAAATTACAAGGATGTGAAAGTCATATCTTGCAAATGACAGGGCCAGATGGACCAATTAAGAGACAGAAGTAGGGATGGCAATATGCCGAATATAAAGCTGGCATCTGTATAAATTTTGGTTCGGTGTAGTTTCTGATAAAAAAGTATGTGCCGTAAAAATATCCTTTTTCTTGTAAAATGAATCGTGTTCCTTTCCTTTCTGATGAAAAAGCATCCTTTTTCCTTGAAAAATTCATTGTGTTCCTTTCATTTCTGATTAAAAAAAAAAGGTATCTTTTTTTCTTGTAAAATTCATTGTCTTCCTTTCTATTATGATAAACAAGCATCTTATTTATTTATTTTTTAAGTATAAAAGCGTTTATACTAATTAACAGTCTTAATATACTTTGATATCAGAAACGGTAGAGCCATCAACATAAAAAAAAAAAAAAAAAGCTATGGAGGAAGATTGTCTAGCTTTAAAAGAGAATAAAACTTGAGACTTAGTGGCAAAATCCACGGATGTGAAAGCCATATCTTGCAAATGACAAGGCCAGATGGATCAATTGAGACATAGAAGTAGAGATGCCAATGTGCTGAATATAAAGCTAACTTTCGTTTTATCTAATTTAGTAAATATTTATTAAAAGTATATAATGGATACTAAGATAGATAAGAATAAAAAAGATATATATCTGTTAATATAGTTTTTGGATATTAATACTCACTCCTCATCCTATTAATATTTATTAATTTATTTTGATTTTTTAAAACATGTAGGTATCTCATTGCATAAATTTTAAAAACTAAAAACTAAAATATTTTTTTCAAAAACTTTGAGACCAAACAAACTTATAAAAAAATACCACAATGTAAAAAAATAATAATAATAAAGACCTAAAATTTTTTAAAAAAATTACAAGGATTAAAATTCATTCTACATTCAAGTTTTGAAGGTTTGGGATATTTTACCATCATCTGGTATACCAAAACTAGCAATGAGTCTCGACACCTTATTTCGGAATTATACAGAGGAGCAGATGAATTGCTGCTTAAACAAATCCATGGAGGGGTAAGTTAACTGCAATGCTTTCAAGATATTTTTCCTTCTTAGATATGATATGATATGTTGCTTATCAGTTTAGACTCGATTTGATATAAATGTGATGGGATGTCAAAGATTCAATATGGATGTAGGATTATATCAGTCTATTCAAAAATTTATATTAATAAAAAGTAATATTTCATAATTATAATTTTTTTTTGTCTTAAAATGTCTATTTAATCAAAATTAAATTGGTATATTTTACTAAAATATTTTTATTTAAACTTTATTTGGAGAGATATTGTCTAAATATAATTTAAAAATATTAATAAAAGATATAGTAATTAATAATTTTTTTAATGTATAATAAGTTAAATAATTTTTTTATTTTTAAAAAGAAGAAACAACTAAAAATACGAAATAAAAAGGAAATTGGTGTCTAAGAGTTGCGAGCATAGAATATATACATGGCCTTTTTAGATTCTTGAAATCCCCAGGGGAGGGGTACGCTAGGCCTCTGTTTTACCTTCTTTTCCTTTCATATTCTATATTCTCCCCTCTTTCTTCTCATAGTTTGTTCTCATCAGGGAAAACACCCTTGGTAAGTCAGCTGTTATTAGCTAGTGGATAAAGCAAAACCCAATCCTCTGTTTTCGCTCTCTCTCTGCTCCTTCCTGCTCGAGGTGACATCTCCACCATTACACTTCTTGCCTCTCAAATCTACATCTCTATATTGCAATATACTAAATAATCATATGCTTTAGATATATATGGAGAAAAAGGTGGATACAAGCTCTCCGGTCGGAGTTCTTGAAGACTACTTTAGGAGTGAAGAATCAGAAAGTTGTTCTTCAAAAAAAACCCACATCGGATGAGGCTGCTCAAAAAGTTTCAAAGCTCGCTTCTCGTTGGCAAGGATTTGTCAATTTACTTAGAAGCAGATCGAAGAGTCCTATAGGAACATTGCATCCTCTCAGTGTCCTAAAGCTCTCTATGAGAAAGAGCAATAGTATGAGAGAAAGCATTATAACGAATCTCTTTTCTAATGCTGATTCAGGCAATTTTAAGTCTCCAAGGATCAACTTCGCACTCTCTGAGCTCCAAGCTGCAACCAACAATTTCAGCCAAGGTCTGTATTCTGTTGTGTGATGCTGTGCAGCCATCAAAATCACTTGCATCACTCTGTCTAAAGGATGAATCAATCACAAATGCTAAAATTTTTGGCTTAAATGGCTATTGCAAAACATGACATCTAACATTAGTATTATGCTAACTGTGATCAGAAAATAATGGAAGCTCAAAAAGAACAAGCAGAAGTGATGCTGTCAGATTAGTGCGAATTTGATGATTCATGATCACTAATGGGTAAACATCCTTGCCTTATCAAGAAGCCAATCGCACCTCTAGTCTAGCTTTTCCAAGCTTCACAATTGTTTCATCAAGAACTGAACTTCGGAATCTTAGATCACTCCATATCAGGATGTTGCAATGCAGGTAGCTAAGTTTAGTCAGCCTTTATATGATGGCCTCAAATGGAAGCTGCATTGATTGCTCACCGCGATTGTCTTGCAGATCTTGCCAACTAAAGGCTATTCATATACATAATACATAATTAAGTTTGGATTTCTTGAAAATAATAACAATAAAAAGTTCGGATTTCCATCACACTCTTTCGGGATGAAGTTCCATTTCCTCGTGTTTCGATAATACAAAATAGAGAATAAGATATCTCTTAACTAATCTTAAAAAATGTATGCTTTATGTAGTATGAAAGGAACCCTAAATTGTACAATGTGGTCCACGGTCAAAATAATTTATCAATGTGGTTCCCAACTGATCAAGAATCCCTTAACTGGGATTCTCCTAAAATTATCAGAAATTTATAATAGAAAATGCTAAAATCTCTCAAAGAGGCCAAAATTTATTGCGTAAATTGTACGTTTTAGATGGAAATCTTTCACGGGCGTGGAAGGAGCAAGGAAGAAGACGAAAGAAATACCTCCAAGAAAAAAAAACAAAAATGGAGCTATGAATAATTCTGCATCAAATTTTCGAAAAAACTACAACAATTACCCCCCTTTAGCCCTTTTGTTTTCCATTTACCATCTTTCTATACACTTTCCATTCCTCCCCTTGCAAACTAAGGGATTTCCCCACTTGGTATTACTGATTGTCCCAAGATCAAGGCGAGTGCGGTTTTTTTATTGCAACTCATGACAATGACCATATTTTTGCTGCTGTGTTTATTGGGTGGCCAATATCTCAAGTCAGAAAGGTGAAACAATGGCCAAGAGAAAGTATCATGTCAAGAAGCTTGAAAAGGTTCCTGGTAGAGAATTAATCAATCTAGTGTTTTCTTGGTCTATCCAAGATGTGCTCAACAAAGATCTGTCCAAAAGCCAGGTTTGGTGCTCAACAAAGATCCGTCCAAAAGCCAGGTTTGGTTGCAATTTTATTTCATATTTTGTTGCAGTTCTACACAACCTTTAGAATTGTGATTTTCATGTCAAAATCAATAATTTCTGACTAATGTTCTTCAAAGTTTACGAAAATCAACACTTCAAAAAAAATTGTAGAAAGATTTCTTGCAAGCCACAATATTATAAGCTTTCGTTAATACACCAAAACTGCACAAATTTGGAGAGAAACTGCATCTGGTTTGGACTGTGGACATTCATCTTGAAAGTTCGTTTTATTTTTACAGAAGAGTGAGTGCAAATTATGTGGCTAGCTAGAAAATAAACTGAACAGCACGATGCAAAGCAAATATCAGAAAGTAAACCGAAAACAAAGCACTGGAACTGGAAAGCAAAGCAGCAGCAAACAGTGAAAAGATGAATCAGCAACAGGAACTACGCGAAGAGCACACGGAGGAAGGACATGAATTTACTGAGGGTATTCTTCATCTTTATTTCAACAAAGTAGAATAGCAGCAGCAACACAGAACAAATGTTAGGCACCGAACAACCATCAGCAGAAATCCTCATGAAAGCTGCAAAAATCATACAAGCAGAGAAATTAACGAGGATACCAAGTTCAAAGAAATTTCAAATTCTTGCTGTATGTAAAGCCGATGGAGTGCCATTGAATCTATCCCTCCATAACACACAAGGGTTAGTCAATTTAAAAACATATAAAATAAGCATAAGGTGAAAAAGAATTTAAACCGAAAAGGGAATTAAAGAAATGATAAAATGTGAAACTAAATACGAGAATATAAAATCTTGTTAATCAGTACCTAATCAGATGTTTCTTCATCACTGTCAATATCTTGAACATTAATTTGAGGGATACGAGCGATCTTGGGCCAATCTTCTCCCGTTCTCCTTTGGCACCTTCTGCTCAAACTTGGACAATCCCAGATCACAAGCTCTTGGAGTTTATTTAGATTGCCGACGCACTCTGGTAATTCTTTAATGTTTGGACAGCCAAGAATCACCAACGTTCGTAAGGAGTCTGCAGATCCTTGAAGCATCTGTTCTGGTAATGCTAATGTTGCTGGTAAATCTACAAATTTTACTGTTTGAAGGCGAAGTGGTTTAATTTCTTCCTCGTACTCTTCCTCCATTGTCATCAAATCAAGCTTTCCACAATAAGCAATAGTTAAAAACTCGAGTGCAGTCAAGTATTTCATGCTTCGTGGCAAAGAGATCAAGCTTCTACATTTAACAATACACAATTTTCGAAGGCTTTTAAGACCTTGCAGATCTTCGCACAAATATTCAAGATTTTCACAGCTAGCAATGCATAAAAATTGAAGACATTCCAAGCACCCAATCCCACCTTCTGGCAACCGTTGCTGCTTAGTAACTAGAAATAACATTCTAAGGCTGATCATGTACCTCACATCTTTGGGCAGCTCTTCTAATCCATCACCGGGAAACAGAGCTTGCAAATTTTGTAATTTGAAAGTAGATTTTGGTAATCTTTTCAACTTGGAATTATAAGAAAAATTGAGATATCTCAAATGTTTCAGAACCCCAATCCTTTGTGGAAGCAATTCACAATCATCCATTTATTCCAACGACCGCAAACGCTTAAATTCTAACAAACATTTCTCAAAGTCTGTTTTGCATCTAGGTTCCTCTAGATCACTTGCAAAAAGAAGTGTTCGCACACGATCTAATTTATTTGGGAAGTTGGGAAGAGCTTGATGAAAAAATGAATGAGAGTCAAAAACTGACAAATGACGGGTAGTTTTGGAAATTTGGTTGTTTTGAGAGGTTATGATTGAACACTCGTTTTGAGCTAATGACGATGCAAGATCATGCATTAAATCATGCATTTTAAAAGTAGACCAAAAAAACCCATCTTCAAAATCTTGGAAGAAACATTTTGAGATCAGCTCCCAAGTTTTCATTCGGATATGATGATTGAACGAGTCCATGTGCCATCCAAAATTGCACCAAATCGAAATCTACATATTCGTGATCTTTTGGAAAAATGGAACAATAAAGAAAGCATCTTCTCAAGTGATTTGGATATTGCTCCTTCTGCCTTTCCTTAAATGCACACTTATAAAATAAAGACAAACAATCCTCTTGATCCAGAAGACTTAAGTCGTACGCAGCAACAGTACCCATAATCTCAGCAACACGTTGGCTACGGGTAGTTACTACAATTTTACTTCCAAGTGCACCTTTAGAAAACAAAGGCAAAAACAAGAGCCATTTGTGGGGATCTTCGTTCCAAACATCATCTAAAACAAGCAAGTATTTCTTACCATTCAAAATTTCATCTAGTTTTGCTTTTAGTTCGCTCTCATCCAAATCAGTACATTTTTCTCCAGTTGCAGATTTAATAATTTTTGAAATCACTTGTTTTAGAGTAAAACCATCTGAAACACATGCCATCATTTTCAGTTCAAAATGAGCACTTTCATCACACACTGTTTTCGCCAAAGCAGTCTTCCCCAAACCACCCATTCCAACTATCGGAACGACAAATGGATGTGCACCATCAACCTCAAAAGGTTCTACTAGAAGGCTGATGATGTGTTCTTTGTCTTTGTCTCTTCCGATAAGACCGGAAAAGCTCTCAAAGGATTGTCTCCTCTCTGTTTCCTCATGCAAGACATTACTATGATCAATAGTCTGTTCACTGAGGTTAAAGTCAGACTTAAGAGATGCAATCTCAGTCAGTCTGTCGATGATGTCTTTTATTTTATGACCCATTCTTAAACGGAATGGAATCATATTAGAACTTGAAAAGAAGCGTCGTACCTTTCTGTTGATGCTTCCTCCAGATTTCACCACCTGCCTTCGCAAACCTTCACACTCAAATTCATCCAGCACGTCCTCCGCATCATACAAGACTTCTTTGAGCTTCTGGAGCCAAAGCCGAATCCTGTCATTTTGTGACTGTTGCCTCTCGGCATCTGACAGAACTGCATTGATTGCTGACAATCTCTCTTCAAGACGTGCAAGGTCACCTTCAAGTCCCCACGCCAAACAAAATTCTTGGACTGCAAAAGAGACTAGCTTCCGTAAAAGGGATTTTGCAATGTCGGTTGCGAAAGCTTCCGCCATTTTGTTTTATTGAGTGAAGAGGAGAAGGGAATAATTGAAATGAAAAACGAGTGAGATGAAAGTGAAGAAGTTATGTTTGAAAGATGTGCCCTCTTCATCTCTGCAATGCCTGCTTAAATATTCACCATTCATGTGGCTTTGCACGACTTGAAGTGTATTTTGGGTCAGCCCAGTTGATTTGGAGTACAATAGACAAAGACTTTCGCATGTGCATGACAGCTAAGACTACTAGAGGAAATTATATAATAAGAGGAAGGTGGCAATACGATAACAATAATTAAAGACTTTTCTCTTTCGCGAACGCAATAATTCAAAATTTTAAAATCCAAACGCAAAGACCCAAATTGAAAAAATATATTAAACAAAGCATGACAAGGTATAGTTGGTTTGGTAAACAATAAACAAAGACCTTAGCATTTCCAATACCTAAGACACATTAAACAAAGACTTTTTGAATTGATTTGATGCAAATTAGTCGAGGAAATAATATACTAAGTGGAAGGTGCAGGCAATACGATATATCAGATTAAGTGAAACAACTGACGTAGCAATAAGTTGCAATTCATTATGGTCTGTGCACAGGATACGTTAAGAACATCCTCATGGCAGAGTTGGCATCCATAACCTTACAACATTGACCTTAATAGCGGAGCATCATTGTCTTTCCAACCTCACCCTCTCTACCTTCTCCGGAGCATCATTGTCTTTCCAACCTCACCCTCTCTACCTTCTCCTTCTTTCTCACCATGAAATCTCCATGTCTTGTGCAACAAGCATAACAGTCCTTTTCAATATGTTTTAATTTATGCAAACTTGACAAACAAAATGAAAATAATAAAACTTTTTAAAAAATGAAGCTGACTTGCAATTCATTATCTTTATTGTAACTTCAAATTGTAGGATTTGAATTTTCCGTGTATTGCTATTAGAACTTTAACTGTTTTTTTTTATATTGTTTACAATTGTAGATGTTACAGGACTCTATAGATAGGATACAACAGGAAGATAATGATAGAATCGGAGAATTATTTTTTAGCGGATAATATTGGCTAATATTATCTCTAATATTATTTGTTTATCTATAGCGGATGTTTGGCTTAACATTCCCTCACAAACTAACTGTGGGGATTGTCTCACTATTAGTTTGTCCGTATAAGAAAACAAACCGTGTAGTAGACGGTAGTTTGGTTAAAATGTCCGCAATTTGATACTAAGTTGAAAGAAACTTCACTTGCAAGCTCCCCTTGCTACCATATTTATGACAAAGTGGAAGTCTATTTCAACATATTTTGTACATGCATGAAAGACTGGATTGACTCGTTAGATATTGCTCCTATATTGTCATGTCGGATTATGGGCTTTGTGTGAATAGAAACCCCCAATTTAATTAATAAGGAAGTGCCCCAAATAATCTTAGCAACCAAATCAACTAAATTTTTATATTCTCCTTCGGTAGAATTGCAGGCCACTTTTTTGCTTGGATGATCCCCAAGCTATGAGGTTTGGCCCAAGATAAACGGTATACCACTAGTGGACTTTCCGTCATCTATGGATCCAGCTCAATCGAGTTAGAGAAGCCCGTGAGGAGGTGTGTAGATGAGTATCCGATGTGAAGCCCAAGGCCTACGATTTGTTTAAGGTTGTGCATAATACATTTTACCACTATCCAATGTTCCGTAGCAAGACTCGCATAAATTGATAAACCTTATTCACGGTATAAGCAATGTCGAGCCTTGTCAAGGTCACATAATGTAGGGCCCCCACCACTCGATAGTACAAGATTGGATCCCCAAAAGCCGAGCTTTCATTCTTCTATAATTTAGATGTAGTGGGCATGAGTGCCACTACTACTCGGTAATGTGCAACCCATGTTTATTCAAAACCTCATTAATACATCTCTCGTTGTGATAACAAAATTTCTTGTTTTGTTCGACAACTTCTACACCTAAAAAGTAATTGAATTCCCCAAGGTCTCATTGGAAAACTTAGAGTTTAGGGAAAAGATAACAGATTGCACAAAGGAAGGATTATTACAAGTGATTAGGATGTCGTCTACGTATACTAACATAAAAACTATATGTTATCTCGCCATATTTTATATAAAGAGTGAAGAGTTAGTTTTTGAAGCCTCAAACCCAAAAGTTAGTAGAGCAGATTAGAGATAAGAGAGCCACATCCATGGTAATTACTTCAATCCATATACGGATTTATGGATTCCGCATACATAATCAAAGAATCGAGTGTCCACAAAGCCCACGGGTTGGGTCATAAATACTGCTTCTATCAAACTACAATTCAAAAAACAACATTATACACATCTAGCCATCCGATATTCCAACCATAAGAAATTGCTAAAATGAGAACAACCCAAATAGTTATTGGTTTAACCACCGGATCGAATGTCTCACCATAGTCGATCCCTTCTTACTAGTGATAGCCTTTGACCACTAACTCGGCTTTAAAATGTTCAATGGTGCCATCGGCATCACCCACTATGTTCATATCCCGTGTAGGAGAGACTAGCGACCATGTCCGAGTTTGGGAAGGGCATAGGTCGGCGGGTTTTGCATGGTGGGGACCGATTTGTCGTTGCAAACTCAAGTTATATTCACTCAAATCCAAAACTAAATTGAGGCTAGGGGTAGGATTTGTTTGTGTGGGCCTAGTGTTGGGATTTTTATGAAGTATGGGTAAGGGAGAGTCGTTGGGTCTTTGAGTTTGTAGTGTGTTAGTGGAAGTAGTTGTATTTGGGGTTTTGGTGGGAGTAGCGAGATAGTGTTGGAGAGCTTGATTGGCTATCGGTTGCCATGGAAAAAAATGGCCGGATGAGCCCACTCGATGGACTTGAGTGATGCCAACTTGGAAAAAAAAATTTGGTTAGTAGAAAATAGGGCCCGAATTAGAATACTAGCCGACGTAGTTATGGGATCCGATTTTGGAAATTGAGTGATTTTATTGGTAGACTCAGCGAAAAGGAAAAATGGATTCAATAAAACAAACATGACAAACAATGTAAAAGTAGTATTTTGTGGGTCAAAACATTGATAACCCAATTGTGATGGTCTATACCCAAGAAAGATGAAAGGAGTGGATCTAAAGTCCATTTTGTGTTTATTGTAAAGAAGCAACAAAGGAAAGCAAAGACAACAAAAAAAACTTTTAAAAAAGAAACAATCAAGTTTTCTATAAAAAAAATTTCAAACGGTGAGGTATTATTAATAATAGAAGGTGACATTTTATTTGTTGTTACCCAACGTCGGATGGGACTTCAAAAAATAAAGCTCGGTTTATCATTAGCTTCGCATTTTTATTTTATTTACAAAACTATTTATAGAGTTTGAAGTCACCACCTAATATTGAAGGAACTAGAAACTAGTATTGAGGATCGGTGGAGTGGGAATTAATAATCTACTTTGTATGTGAACTTCTAAATTCTCCACCCTAGTCGGTTTGATTTTGTTTTATCTTGCAAGTAAATTGTCTTTCTATCATTTTTTAGAATTCAAGAAAAGTATTGAAAATATCATACTTTGTATGCAATGGATAATACCAAATGTACTTAAAATAATGAACAATAAACATAATATAATACTTAAACCCATCAATTAAAGTAGAGGGCGAATGGCCCCAAACATCACTAAAAATCAAATGTAAAACACCATTAGAGAAAAAACCAGCAGAGTGAGATTCCTAAAAAAACATTATTATCACATGGAAGCATTTGAACAAAAAGTAGCGTCCGGTTATTTAGGAAACATAGAGGACTTTATTTAGATTTAGTTTTCGATTAGATGTGTAAATATAACTTGTACCAACATGATGAATTGGTAAATACTTATCATTGCCAATATATAATTGATCGGGACCGTGATATGCTTCAAATTTGTCGAAACTAGATAGATCTAGTGTCACATGGTGAGAAGCTGCGGTGTCTAGACATCATCCGTGAGAGCAAGCTACTAGAGAGGTTACTATCGAGTCACTAGCAATAGGTTGCATGGTCCGAAATTACCGTTGGAGGCGGGTGATGGTCGTTTGATTCCAAGAGTAATAAATTTGGCATTTACGCCTCGTTCGATGGGAGAGCCAAAGGATGTGTAATAGCGATTTGAGAAACGACCATGGGCTCTCTCATGAAAGGCTCTACCCTTCCATGGTGATGACCACCAAATCGGTCATTAGGGTAGCCAATTGGCTTGTAAATAAGGTTGGCGAGTGGGTGGTGTTGGTAATAGACCGATACTTACGGGACAAGCATTAAAATCAGATTTGCACTAACGATTCGGAAACTCATGACTAAGAAGAAAGCTATGTAGGTCAATAAAATTTATCGGTTCGGCTCTTGTAGCTCAAAGAATGTGAATCAACCAATCCCCTTACACAAGAGCGGATGCAATCGTATTTCTACAAGGGCTTCGAGCCCCCTTCCAACTTTCTTTTTTCTCCTATACTAAAGTAACTTACGATCCCCCTCTAATTTTTTTTTTATATATTTTTTTCCTATACTAGAGTTACTAAGTAACAAACCCAACCAGCTAGCCCTCTAACTTTTGATTTAATGTACAGATCCCTAATCCCTATCCAGCTATCCCTACCTTCCTAAGTCGCATGAGTCATGTATAGAAAAGAATTGCAGTTCAAAACAAAAGGACACCAAACAAGCACTTCGCCACTTGAGACAAAACACATGACTTCAATTCTTTTTTTTTTTTTTTTCCTATACTAGAGTAAGACAAACCCGACCCTTTTTAATTTTTTTAACCTTCGTCTTTGGTTTCCCCACAAGGCACAACTAAAACCTTTAATATTTATTTAATTTGATCTCACTAAAACCTTTAATATTTGTTTAATTTGATCTCAGTTGTCTTCCACCACTACTAAATTCATTTCTTTTTTCCTTTCTCTTAACCATAGTTTTAAATAACTTCGTTACATTATATAACATCCGTTATAAAACGGTTTTGGAGCATCCTCGTTGCCAATATTTTAATATTATAATGAGTCACGATCCGCGATGATAACCGCGATCGTTTTTTCACCCGTCCATTATTTAAAACTATACTCTTAACTCTAACTCTATTCAAAACACCAAAAAGAAAAGTCGTTCTCCGATATGGATTTTTCTTATTTGACAACACATCGAGTATTTTCTCTAATTTGGATTAATATACTAGATTCTCAATTGTTTATTTGTTTATAATAATTTTTTTTGTTTATATTTTATAGGTTCTATATTAATAAAGTGACTATTTTGAAATATATTTAACTTATTAGTAGAGCGACTAATGCTACTATAATCCTTAATATTTTTAGGTATGTATACCGAGTGATCCTGGGGGTGGCTCACGAGTAGACTCGGGTGGTGGTCTATTTATGTATTTTCTTTAAAAATTTGAATGTCTTATTTGTATTCTAAGTGAGTTTGTAATTTGTTGCATTATCACACTTTAGAAATTATTGTATATTCATATTTGTAATTTATTTTTATTGTAGAAGACAAATTCACATACCATCGATGCATTCTTTAAAATGAAGAATGTTGTCATTTTAAAATCTAATGAGAAGTCAAATTCTTCTATTGATTATGATCCTTTGAATTGTAAAAATCCTTCTACAAAATATCGTAGAGTTGAAATAAAAAAAAGATTTGATATCAATTCCTTGGAACATGATTCGAGATTATGACCACAAATATGGGAGTATCTTGCTAACAAACGTGATGAAGTTCGAAGAGCCTATATTAATGCTTGGTTCATATGCTTTTCAAATTATCCAAAATCTGGAGAAAAGCATTCTCGTAGTTTCTAAGCATCATGGTTTAAATTATTTACATCATGGTTAGAATATTCTCCAACCAAAGATGCTGCATTTTGTCTATCATGCTATTTATTTCACACACCAAATGTATTTTTTGGATCAAATGCATTTACCGTTAATGGATTTCGATCATAGAAAAAAGTTAGGGATGGTAAAAATTATGCATTATTAGTATATTATGGAAAAGATCCCACTTCTCCTCACGAAATGCCGAGAAAACATGTTAGGATCTCTTAAATCAACCTTTTGCATATTGAGAAAAAGTTTATGAAATTTACTTCTTAGCAAATTATAGATAATCGACTTCGATTGAAAGCTTCAATTGAGATAACTCGTTGACTTGTGTTTCAAGGATAAGCATTTAGAGGTCATGATGAGACCAAAACATCGATGAATCATGAAAATTTTCTTAAACTATTGAGTTTTGTGGCATCTTACAATGACATGGTAGCGAAGTATTGAGTAAAGCTCCATAAATGCCTCATACACATCACCAAGAGTGCAAAAGAAAATTTTACAAGTCTTGGCAATTAAAGTCAAGAATGCTATCCATGAAGAAATTAGTGATGCAAAATTTTGTATAATTGTTAATGAAGCTCGAGATGAGTCTAAAAAGGAGCAAATGCCTATTGTATTGAGATTTGTTGACAAAAATGGGTATGTGGGATAGTGTTTTTTGGGCTTGTTCATGTAAAAGACAATGCTGCATTAACATTGAAAGAAGAAATATTTTCTATTCTCTCTCATTATAGTCTTGATGTTCGGAATATCAAAGGACAAGGTTATGATGGTGCAAGCAATATTCGAGGGGAATGAAATGGGTTACAAGGTCCGATTTCAAATGAATGCCCTTTTGCATACTATGTCCATTGTTTGGCTCATCGTTCGGTTGGAATTAGTTGCTTGCATCAAAGGAAGTTATCCTTATCCATCAGCTTTTCACCAAATTGAACTCCATCATTTATATTATTGGTGCTTTATTTAAGCGTGATGACCAATTAAAAGTCGTTCATACTCGTAAATATTGCTTCTTCTTTTTTTCTTTCCATTGATGAACTTGAATGTGGGAGAGGGCTTAATCAAGTTAGTGGTTTACAAAGGTCCGGGGATACTTGTTGGAGTTTTTATCTAAAATCTATTTCTAGCTTGGTGAATGTGTTTAGTGCAACTTATGAAATTTTATTGAATATCATTGAAGATGGAGCTACAATTACTCGGCGTGGAGACGCAAATGCAACTTATGAGGGATTAAATTCTTTTAAATTTGTTTTTATTACATATCTAATGAGAACAATTTTAGAGATATCCGATTTGCTTTGTCAAGCTTTACAACTTTGATCTTAGGATATTTTGAATGGAATGCATTTAGTTTCTTCAACTACATTACTCATTCAAAAATTAAGAGATGAAGGATGGCATGAATTAATTTCAAAAGCAAAATCTTTTTATGAAGTAGTCAACATACTTGTACCGGACACGAGTGTTCATGATATTACAAGAAAAGGAAGGGCGTGTCATCAATAATATGTAATTATGATTGAGCATCCTTACAAAGTTGATATATTAAATGCTCGTGATAGATTCTCAATTGCAAAAACTGAATAATAGATTTAATGATCCATGATAGAGCTACTCATTCTTAATTCGAGCTTTAGATCCTGAGAGATGCACATAACATTTAGGATTGATGACATTTGTAAGTTGGTGTAGAAATTTTACCCTCAAGACTTTGTTGATTATGAAATGTTGCAATTAAGGATGCAATTTGAGCATTTTGATCATATGTGAAATCTTTCGATTTTGAAATATTATTAACTATATCCGATTTATGTCAATGGTTGATGAAGATAAGAAAATTTAAAAGTTATCCATTTGTGCATAAAGTGATAACACTTATTCTTACTCTTTCGAGTTACAATAGCTACCACGGAGCGGTCATTTTCAACTATGAGCATAATCAAGACTAAGCTTCGTAACAAGATAGAAGATGACTTTCTTTTATATCATTTGTTAGTGTATATTGAAAAAGAAATTGTTGAAAATTTCAGTATGGATTCGCTTATAAATGATTTTCATGACTTGAAAGAATGAAGATCTTTATTTAAGTGATTGTATTTTGAGATTATTTTAAAATATATGTTGGCATGTTATTTATAATTTATATAAGTTTGTGTAAAGCATGATAAATTTATAAAAATTTATTTTGACCCTCGTGAACATTTGGTCTCGCGTCCGCCACTCGCCTTTACAACTCTCCGGCCTTCACCATGCTATTCTCATGGGAGATGAACGGCAATTGTATGCAACTGTTATTAACAAGGTTTTGATTTGCCTTCATGGTTCTAATCCTCTTTATCTTTTGATGTCATGAAAACCGTTTACTTTCTCATATCATAACATATTTAAAATGCACCACTATTAGATTTTTGAGGAGGCTGGTTTTGGTGGCAGTTTGTTTGAGAGGCTTGTAAAGTTGGGATGCAAGAGCCACCTTCTCAACATTCAATACCGAATGCATCCATCAATAAGCTTATTCCCGAATACAGAGTTCTATGGCAGACAAATTTTTGATGCACCAAATGTTAAAGAAACAGGCTATAGGAGACGGTTCCTCAAAGGAAACATGTTTGGATCCTGCTCTTTCATAAATATAGCCTACGGAAAAGAGGAATTTGGTGAGCTACAGAGTTTCAACAGTACAGTTGAGGCTGCTGTTGTTGCTGATATTGTTGGGAGCCTTTTCAAAGGTACTAGGTAGAAATATCAGATGTTTCTGGTGTAACTATTGATTTACAGAATTATTCTGACTTCATTTTTATGGTACAGAAATCAATGGCACTAGGACGAAGACTAGCATAGGTATCATATCACCATACCAGGCTCAAGTTCATGCAATTAAAGAGAAGATTGGGAGGTTCATTTCAGATTCTGACAGTGCCCTTTCTGCAAGTGTTGGCACGGTTGATGGTTTTCAGGTGGCGAGGAGGATTTGATAATTATCTCTACTGTTCGAAGTGACGAAAGAGGATTGGTGGGCTTTTTTTCGAATCTTCAACGAGCAAATGTGGCGCTGACTCGTGCAAGGTATTAAATAAGTAACAAAACATCAGAAGCTCAAAAGCTTCTTTTCCCTTTCTTTTTCTCCAATATTCCTATTTGAACATGTAAATTTTCGGGTGTAAAGGTATTGCCTTTGGATATTTGGAAATGAAGCAACTTTAGTTAAGAGCGGCTCTATTTGGAAGAAGATTGTCAATGATGCCAAGGAACGGAAATGCTTCTATAATGCTGAAGAGGATGAGAGTTTGGCTCAGACTATTACTGATAGCTTGATCGAGCTTGATCAACTTGATGTTTTATTGAAAACTGACTCTTCATTGTTCAGGAATGCAAGATGGATGGTAAGCTAATTATGTTTTAGTATTCTTGAAGTTTTTTCAAAAAATTTACAGAAAATACAAGGTTAGCTTACTCTAGTGGTTTATGGAAAGAAGAAAATCTATTTTCAAAACAGATAATATTGCTTCTCAGTCCACAGTAATATCATGTTTTCATGCCAAGTATTAATTAATGGTTACCTGCATTTTGATACAGGCTTGTTTCAGTGATGATTTTCGGAGATCGGTGGAAAGAGTTAGGAATGTCAGAATCCGTAAGGAAGTGCTTTCCCTATTAGCGAAGCTTTCAAATGGTTGGCGTCAGTCTCGCAATAAGAGAAGCCTAATTGTTCACAACTGGATTTCTTCCCCACTGTCAGAGCAGTATAAAGTTAGTGGACAGCTAAATATGGTCTGGACTGTGGACAATCTGCAGGAAAATTCATTCTACATTCAAGTTTTGAAGGTTTGGGATATTTTACCATCATCTGGTATACCAAAACTAGCAATGAGTCTCGACACCTTTTTCAGAATTATACAGAGGAGCAGATGAATTGCTGCTTAAACAAATCCATGGAGGGGTAAGTTAACTGCAATGCTTTCAAGATATTTTTCCTTCTTAGATATGATATGATATGTTGCTTATCAGTTTAGACTCGATTTGATATAAATGTGATGGGATGTCAAAGATTCAATATGGATGTAGGATTATATCAGTCTATTCAAAAATTTATATTAATAAAAAGTAATATTTCATAATTATAATTTTTTTTTTGTCTTAAAATGTCTATTTAATCAAAATTAAATTGGTATATTTTACTAAAATATTTTTATTTAAACTTTATTTGGAAAGATATTGTCTAAATATAATTTAAAAATATTAATAAAAGATATAGTAATTAATAATTTTTTTAATGTATAATAAGTTAAATAATTTTTTTATTTTTAAAAAGAAGAAACAACTAAAAATACGAAATAAAAAGGAAATTGGTGTCTAAGAGTTGCGAGCATAGAATATATACATGGCCTTTTTAGATTCTTGAAATCCCCAGGGGAGGGGTACGCTAGGCCTCTGTTTTACCTTCTTTTCCTTTCATATTCTATATTCTCCCCTCTTTCTTCTCATAGTTTGTTCTCATCAGGGAAAACACCCTTGGTTGCATTCACTTTCATCAATTTTACCATACAATTGAGTTCCCAAGTTAATTACCGCCAAAGGAATTTGCTTGCACTTTTCCACTATTTCTTTCCCAATTTCAACCAAATTTGGATATTGCTCCTTCTGCCTCCCCTTAAATGCACACTTATAAAATAAAGACAAACAATCCTCTTGATCAAGAAGACTTAAGTCGTATGCAGCAACAGTACCCATAATCTCAGCAACACGTTGGCTACGGGTAGTTACTACAATTTTACTTCCAAGTGCACCTTTAGAAAACAAAGGCAAAAACAAGAGCCATTTATGGGGATCTTCGTTCCAGACATCATCTAAAACAAGCAAGTATTTCTTACCATTCAAAATTTCTTCTAGTTTTGCTTTTAGTTCGCTCTCATCCAAATCAGTACATTTTTCTCCAGTTGCAGATTTAATAATTTTTGAAATCACTTGTTTTAGAGTAAAACCATCTGAAACACATGCCATCATTTTCAGTTCAAAATGAGCACTTTCATCACACACTGTTTTGGCCAGAGCAGTCTTCCCCAACCCACGCATTCCAACTATCGGAACGACAAAGGGATGTGCACCATCAACCTCAAAAGGTTCTCCTAGAAGGCTGATGATGCATTCTTTGTCTCTGTCTCTTCCGATAAGACCGGAAAAGCTCTCAAAGGATTGTCTCATCTCTGTTTCCTCATGCAAGACATGACTATAATCAATAGTCTGTTCACTGAGGTTAAAGTCAGACTTAAGAGATGCAATCTCAGTCAGTCTGTCGATGAGGTCTTTTATTTTATGACCCATTCTTAAACGGAATGGAATCATATTAGAACTTGAAAAGAAGCGTCGTACCTTTCTGTTGATGCTTCCTCCAGATTTCACCACCTGCCTTTGCAAACTTTCACACTCAAATTCATCCAGCACGTCCTCCGCATCATACAAGACTTCTTTGAGCTTCTGGAGCCAAAGCCGAATCCTGTCATTTTGTGACTGTTGCCTCTCGGCATCTGACAGAACTGCATTGATTGCTGACAATCTCTCTTCAAGACGTGCAAGGTCACCTTCAAGTCCCCATGCCAAACAAAATTCTTGAACTGCAAAAGAGCCTAGCTTCCCTAAAAGGGATTTTGCAATGTCGGCTGCAAAATCTTCCGCCATTTTGTTTTTTGAGTGGAGAGGAGAAGCGAATAATTGAAATGAAAAACGAGTGAGATGAAAGTGAAGAAGGTATGTTTGGAAGATGTGCTCTCTTCATCTCTGTAAGCCTGCTTAAATATTCACCATTCATGTGACTTTACACGTCTTGAAGCGTATTTTGGGTCAGTCCAGTTGATTTGGAGTACAATAGACAAAGACTTTCGCATGTGCATGACAGCTAAGACTACTAGAGGAAATTATATAATAAGAGGAAGGTGGCAATACGATAACAATAATTAAAGACTTTTCTCTTTGATGAACGCAATAATTCAAAATTTTAAAATCGAATCGCAAAGACCCAAATTAAAAAAATATATAAAAAGACGTGCGCTATAGATAAGATAAATTAAGCAAAGCATGACAAGGTATAGTTGGTTTGGTAAACAATAAACAAAGACCTTAGCATTTGCAAAACCACGACACATTAAACAAAGACCTTTTGAATTGATTTGATGCAAAATATTATATAAAGTGGAAGGTGGCAATATGATATAAAAAAAAGACCTTAGCATTTCCAAATTGGTTTGATGGATTCACCTTGGCATCCATACCTTAAAACTAGGGCCAATTACAAATTTCATTAGAGACCTATATTTGCGCACGTTTCACCACTATCACTCTCTATTAAATTATTATATTAATTTTTATCATGGAGTTTTAATAGTATCCTTTCATAAAATTATATTTTTTTCATTATCCTTAAATCTTATTCCTAATTTAATTTCATCCATCATTAAATTTATCAATTAAAACATGTAATCATTAACATAATCACATAATTATCTCAGGCATTAACATATCGGAAGCATTTTGTTAAAATTTCATCTATAATCTATCTCAATATTATTATCATAATTCATCATTAAATTCTAAAAGCATCCTTCATTATCATTCAACATTTCTAAATAATCTCAATCTACTATTCATAAATAGTTACTAAGCTATATCATAGCACTAGTAGATGATTTTTTTCACTATGCTTGTTGAATTTAAAAACATTGTAGAGAAGGAATTCAAGATGACAATTAAATTGTTGCAGAGTAACAATGGAGGTGAATTTATGTCAGATGATTTCTTCCAATTCTGCGACAATAATGGTATTCTAAGACTTACGACATGTCTGAATACCCTTCAACAGAATGTACTTCAAAAAGGAAATTGGCTCATCTCATCTATATGAGTCTCTGATGGTTATATGATAAAATCTTCCTTGAGAGCATTAGGTATAAGCTGTTCAATGTGCTTGACATGCAATAAATCGTTTACCTCCGTGGCCAGGTAAAGAAAAAATCTATCTTTTGAGGTTTTATGTGATATAAAGCTAAATCTCAATTACTTTCGAATATTTAGTTCAATTTATTATGTTCATATTCCAAAATCTAATAAAACTAAACTTAACTCAAAAGTAAAAAAGTGTGTTTTGGTTGGCAATGATTAATGTAAGAAAGGGTGGTGTATGGACCCATAAACAAAAAAGTTTATAAATTCTTAATTAAATACACATTTCTTCTGCCCCTCTCTTTGTAATTTTGTCACACCGAGTAGCCAATAGGATGAAGAGAACATGTGTGCGAATTGAAGAATCAAGCTTCATTCTTTTATGTGAAGGGAAATTAACACAATAATTGAAGACTGCAAGCCTGCTTAAATATCCATCATTCGCGTATATATAGGATTAGAATGCATGAAGTTAAAGTTCTGGTTGGCTGTCTGTTTGCTCTATATATAATTGAAAAGAAATATTTAAAATAAAAAATTTGATTCCTTCAAGCCAGCTCATCGATCCAGCCTTTCTTGGTCCGCAAGTTGGCCTGCAAGTTGGCCTGCAAAATGGAGAGGATTAGAATGATAGGAAATAATAGAATGGTCCGCAAGTTGGCCCGCAAGTTGCTTTAACTTTGCACGTCTTGAAGTGTATTTTGGGTCAGGCCAGTTGTTTTGGACAAAGACTTTAGCATTTGCAGTACTATGACAGCTAAGACTGCTAGAGGAAATTATATAATAAGAGGAGGGTGGCAATATGATGACAATAATCGAAGACTCTCTCTTTCGTGAACACAATAATTCAAAATTTTAAAATCGAAACGCAAAGACCCAAATTGAAAAAATATATAAAAAGACGTGCGCTATAGACAAGATAAATTAAGCAAAGCATGACAAGGTATAGTTGGTTTGGTAAACAATAAACAAAGACCTTAGCATTTGAATTATTGAAAAAATAAACTCTATTAAATATATTTAATTATGTCTGATATAATTATTTTATAGTCATCATGTAACGTCCATCATTCGATATGACTTACCTAAAGAGTCACAATTAAATGGATCAACACTAAAACATACATCTTTCCATTATCTTTAAATCTTGTTCTTAATTTAATTTTATTCATCATTAAATTTATCAATTAAAATATATTATCAATAATATAATTACATAATCATCTTATGCATTAACACATTATAAGCATTTTGTTAAAATTTCATCTCAACCACTTTTTATTTAAGAGTTATTTATACGTAATTCCTCCTCAAATTCTAAAATAAAGTACGTAGTTTTTTTTTTTTTTTCATCTCATCGCGTAGAATGTCCAAAGACCCGAATTGGCCCTCTCGCAGTCGTCAGCTCTGATCTCTCCATTGCTTCCTGTAAATGGACGGTATTTGATCGGGTTGAAGAAGGCCAAGATCATAGCTACAGCCTTTTTAATTCACCCATGTTATATGTTTGCCGCTTTTCATGGATCTGTGTCCAATAAATGCTACCGATAAAGTGAAACAATAATATAAAAATCCGTGTCCAATCAATATTAAACAACGTAAATCCAAGAAACAATAAATTAAGAATAAGGCAGAGTGCACAATAAACGAAGACCTTAGCATGTGGAAGAGCATCACACCCAAGACGTTTTGGATTGGTTTGATGAAAAACAGTAGAGGAAATAATATATAAGAGAAACAACCCAGGACTTGCAAGTTGCAATTCATTACGGTCTGTGCTCAGGATAAGTTAGCGCAAGCTAGCTCGTGGTAGAGTTTGCTTTTGTAACATTAGAGTTTTGACCTTAAAACTAGGGTTAACCACCAATTTACTTCTGACTTATATCTGCCTACGTTTTCACTGTTACTCTTCATTAAATGATTATATTAATTTTACTTTAAAGTTTCAATATTGTCCTTCCATTTAAATTATGTAAAAAAAAAAAAATTACACAAATTCTATTAAATGTATGTAATTATGTTTCACATAGTTATGCTACCGTCATCATTCGGAGTGTAGCATCATGAAAAAATACATTTAATAAAATTTATTCAATAAACTAAAAATAATTTTTAGCTTACTAAATATATTTATATTTCGGATTGTAGCATTATGAAGAAAATCATATTTAATAGAATTTATTTAATAAACTAAAAAGTAATTTTTAATTATATGTTTTTTAATATTAAAACTTGAAATTATAAATATATTTTAGATTTACAAAAAAAATATATAATAATATGTTCGGGCTATTCATCTATGTATGTGTTGAAGAATTTATCTTATATCGAATAAATAAATAATATATAAAGTTGAAAAAAAAAACTATCCACCTCAAAGCTTACGTTTTTTATATGGATCAAATCTCAATTTTTTAACTTAATATGACAAAAGAGTCTCTACATTAAATAAATAATTAATTAATGAGTAATATATAAAATTGATAAAAAAAAATCACATATCACAAGATTTAAGGTTTTTTTTTTTTTTTTGGTGGATAAAATCCAACGATAATGTTATTTTGCATGTCATTTTTCAAAACTTCCGTAAAATGAGACGAGTAATTGGTTTTGAAAATAGTTAAATTAAAAATTTTAAAAATTGGAGGAAGAATACAAAAAGAAACTCAAAACATAATTGACAGAAATTAAATACTGAAATTAATATGTACTAAAAAATTAAGCTTTGTTTTTTTATATTATTTCTTTAATTTTCTTACGTCTTTAATTTATCTACCCTTTTCAAATAGTCATTGAGGGCATTTTTGATATAAAAGGTTGTTTTTGTAATATTTTCTTAAACCTGTAATGCGCTTTAGTTAAATATTCAAACTTGTAAGTGATTTCTATAATTTTGCAAATAGTCATTAAAAGAATTTATATTTTCACAAATGGTTATTAAAAAAATGTATATCATTCTCTAATACACTTCTTTAAATAATTTTTTTTATAAATTTGAAATTTGTGCATGCCTGCCACAATTTTGTGTTTAATTATTTAATTTTAATAAAAGAGAATAGAAGTAGTGAGATTCGAACTACGGATTATTTGGTCATTAAGATCGTGATATTATGTCAAAAAACTATTTCAATTCAAAAAGTTAAGTTTTTAAATAAAATTTTAAAATATAATTTATATTACTTTTTAAGAATAACTAAAACTTGCTCTGTACGTAATACAAATATAAAGAAATAAATGTTCTTAATTAATGGGCAAGGAAATGATGCCTCTTTTATAGTTCCAGGCTTCGAGCCAAAGAATTCCTCCTTGAGCCATTGAAACTGATCATGAATGTAACATTACAGTAATTAAGTTTGGATTTCTTCAAAATAATAATCGTCATACATAATTTGATAGTAGATTATTGAAGCTTACTCTGTTGCAAAAGCTTTGTGCATTCTGCATTTCCACCAATTTCAGATTTATTGATTTACGATGTGGTACATGAACAAAACAATTTCTCAATTTGGTTCCCAACTGATCAATGATCCCTTAACTGGGGTTCTCTCAAAATTATCAGAAATTTATAATAGAAACGCCAAAATCTATCAAAGAGGCCCGACCTTTTTTTTTTTTTTGGATAAAATGTAAATTTTAGATAGAAAGCTTTCACGGACATGGAAGAAGGACTCAATTCAGAAATGATCCCAACTTTAGAAACCCAATTGAAGCAATTTTAGTTTGAAAATAATAATCCAAGCAAG